GATCAACTAGTATTCAAAGAGTAAATAGGCACTCCCTGTGGATCAGCTTGTTTAAAGCAGAAGGCAGTCAAGTTGTATAACTGAGAAAGATCAGAGATTTGTTCTTCGTCTGTGCCAAGTTGGCTAAACTCATTCAGGGAATTTGTTGTTGGCCTCAAGAGGAGAAAATCAATCAGGATTCCTCATTTAACCATTATCCAGTGACTCCCTCTGTAAATCCCAGAGTGGTTATCTTGTGGGATCTTGCTCAATCTGTACTGTAATCTTTTGAGGTGAAGAGTCTGCACATGCAAACTAAGTAGTTGGCATGGATTCTCTGCTGGTGCGTTGTGCAGACTGGCATCTCTAATTATTTAATACAGAAAATAAAACTCAGAGTGGAGACCATGTTTTAAGTATCCCATTGCAATTATTCAGGAAGAAAGTAGTGAATTTATCTAAACACAAAGGATTAGAAGTGCCTAATTCACTATGGAAGCAAAGGAGACAAATAGAGAATTTTAAAATTCAGGTATCACAGAAAAACATGCACATTCCAGCCATTTGGCTGCTGACTATAGGTCACTGGGCTACAGCAACAAGAGGCTAATTGTATTTGACATGGGAATATAGGATGATGCCAAGACCATGTGAATAGCTGGTGGGAGGGCTGCTATTCAAGCAGAGCCTTCCAGGTTTGAGAGACAAGGGAAGCTGATGAAAAAGAAATTGTCACTTCCTTTCTCTTCATTTTGATTGTTAAGGGGAAAGATACATGGTAGAAGATACCACAGAGGTGAGAAAGAGAAGTGCAGATAAGGGAGGTGAACAAGAGTTGATGCCAAACTTGGATTTTAAAAGCCAGTGGATCACGAGGGCTAAAGAAGACTGAGGAGGCAAGGAATTAATTAGCTTTAAAACAACAAAATACTCAAGGGTCAATCGGCATTTGTGGAGTGGGAGGGTGGCAGATGTGCTAGGTCTTGGGTGTAACACCTTTTCCAAACTCAAGCTGTAGTGAAGGAACATTCCTACTACATCAGTGGTTCTTACACCAGCCATTTTTGTGGTGACTCCTAATGAAACTCAGTTTATTCCTGAATCACGTCAATGACAAATTGGATCGATGGTGCAAAAATAATGATTTCAGGTTGAATGATATTCAGGATTTCATAATATAATAGCACATATCTGTTAGGGTGTGGTTAATAGGCCTCAACAATTATTACAATAAGATGATCATTCTCACACTAACCAATGCAGCGGAGTTGAACTTGTGTTTGAGTGTGATGAATGTTCACCTTCCTATAGATTTTAAAGAAAAATGCATATAGTGGGAATTATTTTTTTTTAAATGAGCTGAAATTTCCTTGAAGCTGCTTCTATCCTATTGCTGCCACTTTGTGACACGTAAAAATGGTTTCGCAGAGGAACGTGGGACTCGGAAGTGGGGGTAATCCATTTGGTCCTTCAAACATGCCACTGTTGTCAGAGAAATTATGGCACAGAACTGGGGAAACCCCAAGGAAGAAATTCTCAACCCAAAATGTTGGAACTACATAGCACCATCAGAAAGAGTATTATTTTATATGGGCCCTTTATTCAGCACTGCAGAATAGCAGAAGCTCTGAATGTAATAGAAAACTGAATTATGTGGTTAGAGAACTAATGCCCGCAGAAGCTAAGGCTAAATGCACCCTGAAAAGAATGTCTCAGACTGACTGGGAGATACAGTGAGTTAGCACTCTGACCATTCACCTCTAGGATCTGAATTAAAATCCAGCCCATAGTGGGAGGATGAAGAGTTAGAATTAGACTGTGGGATTAAATCACCCTCTCTAATGCTCATTAACAAATCTTCTCTGAAATAAAATAGGAAAGCCTCAATCAATTTATTGACCTGTTGGCATACACAGACATAGTTAACATTCTGAGTCAAATTTGACTTGAAACCCTAACACACTTTCTCCCCAGAGATTCTGCCGCTCATGCTGATATTTCTGGCACCTTCCGTTTTTATTTCAGCTTTACAACATCTGCAATATTGTGCTATTATGAAGGTATCCATAGAATGCCTACAGCATGGAAGCAGGCCATTTAGTCCATCAAGTCCACACCAAAGAGCATCCTAGCCAGACCCACCCCTTATTCTATCCCCGCATTTCCCACCCTATACACTATGGGCAATTCACCTAACCTGCACATCTTTGGACTACGGGAGGATACCGGAGCACTTGGAGGAAACCCACACAGACACAGAGAGAACATGCAAACTCCACACAGACAATCACCCAAGGCTGGAATCAAACGCAGGTCCCTGGTGCTGTGAGGCAGCAGTGCTACCCACTGTGCCACTGTGCAGTGGCTTATCTCCCATGTAAGCACTATTTGGCTTGGCTGAAAGTTATGTTAAATAAAATAGAATTAGGCCAATCAATTTCCATTTCAATAGTAATTGCCAAGTTTAAACACAATAGAACCAGTTAGTTAACAAAGCCTCTTAAGTGGTTTTTATTTTAATTGTACCAAACCAACCATCAGATTTTCCATTTACATACTGCTTAACTATGTGGAAATGTTATAGCAGAACACCAACTCCCTGATTCTAAGCCATGCCAACTCACTGCTTCAGACTATATTTATTTTACAATAATGTGCGGTTCTTAATTTTATATTAGCTTAGCACTGTAACTGCTGGAAGAGTGGAACAGCTACTTTCAGTCAACTACTACTCCTCCAGTGTAAAATGAATAGGCATAATTGGGAATTGTTTGCTCACCTGAGCTCATAGGGAATGCTGAACTGAAGTCCTTCAAAATTAACAATCAGATTACATCAACCACTTGTGACTAAAAGTGCTGGTGACCCATTTAGATCAGGTCGTAGATTTAGATATACCTGCAGTGGCTGCTTTGTTTGCCCAAGCACTGCACTCACAACATATTTGTGAAAAAAAAGGCCTGCTCAAGGACTGTAAGAGTACATATTAGGTTGAAATTACAACCCAAGGACTGATTGTGTACATTGCAACAATTTGCGCTTTTATATAAAATCTTTTTAAACATCCCAGAGGCTTCCTGGCAGTCGAACCTGTGGAAAATGCAGATGCTAAACAGTGGTCAGCAGAAAACTAAGGAAAAAGGACTAAAGACTTAGCCAAGGAAAATGTTTTCAAATGTGGGGAGAGTGGAAGCGTGACAGAGAGGCTTCCAATGTACAGTATCATGGTAGCTGAAAGTTCATTGAAGCATTGGAAGTATTATTTTGGAGTACACTTGATTCTGCTATAATGCATTTTCCGGCAACGCAAATTAGCTATAAGGCGACTGACAAATAGGGGAACACAGTTTCTAAAATGCAAACTTGTGTTGGCTATAATGCGATTCCACCTTGTTGTTGATGTTTTGGAAGATGTTTTTAGAAAGTATTGCAGGAAAAAAAATTTGGATTTCAAGATTCTCCTCATCCTGGATAATGCGCCAAGCCATCCTTCACCATTGGCGAACTTTCTGAAAACACCAAAGTGCTATTTCTACCCCCAGACACAACCTCTCTCCTTCAACCCATGGACCAGGGTGTAATAGCAGCTTTTAAAGCTTATTATTTAAAGCACACATTGAAGAGGCTGATTGCAGCCACTGAGGGGGATTAGGACGGTGTTCTTCAATTTTGGACGAGCTTTAACATCAAGAATACAATTGACATTATCGAGAAGGCCTGGAGTGATGTCAGTAAGGACTGCTTGCATGCAGTTTGGCGGAAGCTTCTCCCAGATTTTTTTCAAGATTTTAAAGGCTTTGATCTGTCAGAGGAACTCCCAAGAATCTAAGAATATCATGTTGATCTTACAAATCAAGTTGGATTTGAAAATGTGGAGAGTGAGGATGTTGAAGAGCTGTTTGAGTCCCACTGTAAAGACAGTCTACAGCTGATCTATAACAACTTGTTGCTGAGGGGGAAGTGGAAGCTGGAGATGAAGAGGAAGTCCAAGATGCAGCACCACAAGAGCTTTCCACTTCTGTTTTGTCTTCTATCCTGAAGGAAATTGCGAAACAGTTGCAGTTCTTAGAGGACAAAGATTACAATGCAGAACGCAGCAGGGTAACAGTTTGTGGAATAAGATCTTATTTGGCACCCTGTGAACAGCTTCTTTATGAAAGAAGAAAAAGGGCAAAACAACAAAAACTGGATGTCTTTTATTAGCCAAACCCCAAGAAACAGTCAGAAGACTATGAACCACAGCCATCCACTTCTGGATTAACTCTTTTACACCCTAACCCTGCAACCACTACTGCACCTGAAGGTGATGATGACGATGATAATGGTGATGACGACCCTCACCCCCTGCATTGACAATAGAGCAACCTCAAAATCTCCTCCCCCATCAAGTTATCATGACATTTTTTTCAAGGTAAGGTGTTAAATTTGCTTTTATTTCATTATTAGATATGAATTAAACATTTATTCAAACTGTGCCGTCCTTTGAATTAGGCTTTTGAGTGATTTTTGAGCAACTTTGAGTGATATTTTTTGGTTGTCTGCCCCAACCCCACTTTTCCCATAGACCCTGTTATTTCTATAGCGCAATTTTCTATAACCTGATGTTCCGCAGGAACACAAGGGTAGGATAGTCCAAAAGTACTTGAATTGATATCATTTTGAAGAGCTATTCCTTTGTCTTTTGTAAGAGAGTTATGTGTGATGAGAGTGGACAGTTTTATTCATACTTGCAGTGTCCAGAGCTTCCCTTTATTTTGGCGTTAGGTGAGAGAGATTTGTCATTTTAAGAGTATGACCCAGAGGCTTGGACATGCCATGCTGTTGTTGTGGCTGGCCTTGGGCAGTAGTTGTAGCTGGTGGATGTTGTTGAAACAGGGCAGAGAGAATTTTATACTGCATCTAACCTGGGATTACTTGGTGCTAATGCAGAGGAACAAGTGACAAATCATCCCCCTCCTTAGCATGGACATCCCCTGCCTTGACTGACGCAAATTCACAATGTTGAATGTACTGTCTTTCAGGATGCATTCCAGGCTTTCCATCCAGACCTCACCTTTGTCCGTAAGTTTATGAAGCCGCTTCTGATTGGTGAGTTAGCTCCAGGTGAGCCGAGCCAGGACCGTCAGAAAAAGGTGAGATGTTGTTTCATTTCATGACATTGGTTGTTTTGAACAGGGTTGCCACAATTTCCTTGTAAATTAGCACTTTTTAACTATCTAAAACACCAGTGTTCTCCTGGATACTGTTTTGTGATGACCCTTCCAATGTGTTTCTTGAACCTACTTTGTCCATCCACAAGACCTTGAACATTATGAGAAAAGCATGAATGTGAGGGAATTTTGTTTCCTCTGCCTGTAATTTTTGATATTTTGGGAGAATCTTAACCAGGGCTGGGGTGAGGGAGTTGGAATCAGTCATGGGCATCAAGACGAAAACACATGCTGGGTATTGATGACACTGTGAAATTGACGGGTGGATTACCATGCAATACTGAACCAGGACAGTTGCTTCCTTGCCTAAATGAAAGACTTTTTCTGCTAGGACTGGGTCTGAGAGGGTGCTTCCACTGCTTTGGAGATGATTTCCAGTTTTCTTAGATCATTCCTCCTACTCAAACTTCTTATCGCATGCAATAGCACTCCCTTGCTGCTTGCTTTGTCACCTGTATCAGAGCAGCTTATGCTTCGCTTGAAACTCTGATGAGGAAAAGAGCACCAATGCCAACAACACCAAGAACAACAGCAGCTAATGACGACAGCTCCCTTAGCAACCAGCTGTTCCATGGAACAGAGAGATGTAGGCAGCTTCAACTCTGAGGAGATGAGTACCCTAAATACAGGCAGATGATCAGTTTTCTGACAAGGCTGAATAGCCTTAGGCAGCTAAAATGTACTTGACAGATAGTTGCTGATATCCACGTGCCTCTAGAACAAGCCCTCCTTCCAAATGGACTAAGTAGGCATGCATTGCCGATGGCCATCGTAGCCAGGGCCCCTGTGAAAGGCTTATACAGGCACAGTTCAGTGAACCTAAATAGTTCTACATCAAGCATTCTCACAGGTAGCATTCCTTCCCATTTTGAAAGCACCAGTTGTTCATCTTCTACACTGTTACTCAGAGACAATAACGAAGATAAATGAACAATAAAGACTTATTACAGTGATACATTTGTAAACACCCAAGTACCCCTTGTGAATCTACAAAACCTTTTTCTTTCTTTCTAATACCTCTTTTTGGTGCTGCCTCTGTGGTTTCAGCAGCGTTTGAGTGAGGATTCTGAGTTCCCAGTTCTGGCAACTAGAATGTTCATGGTCAGTGTCTTCTGAGTTTTGGAGCTCAGGAGGACATGGGTCAAAAACTGTCCCAGCTGCACCTATCCACAAGGTGGCTTGACCATCTAGATAGGAGGGACTCCAAATAAGGAGTGGTGAGGAATGGAGTGAGCATTATGAATACTTTGAGCAGAGTCCCTTCTTCCATGTGGTTTTTGGCCATCTTCCCTCTTGTGATCCATCCACAATTCCTCGATAACCAAGATCTGGAGGTCACTTGCCGCACTTCTGTGCAAGGTTGAGCTAGGGTGTAACCTTTCAGGGTTAGATGGCAAACTGGGTATGTGGTCCAGCATGCACTCAGTTGCCTGACACATCCACACAGCTGGCCAATCTTTCCATGGAGATGGACATTAGCACAAATAACTGGAGCATCATTGTGCTTAATATTAGAGATAGACTCCTCCAGTGTCTCAGCCAGGAGCCACTCTGCTGACAGGACCTCACACACTTTCTGTTCTTTCTCCAGAAGAGGCATCTTTGTTGATGACATCATAAATTCAGTATCAACATTCATTTGAACTTAGCTTGGAGTGTCATGCTCCCTTCATGAACTCTCCAGTGCTGTCTCTGTCTCCAGTGCCTGCTGCCCACTTAGGAAATGTGATTAATTGTGTGACCAGATGTCTTGGAGGCCTCAATAAAGTGTTTGTCTGAGCCAGTGGACGCTGCACATCAATCCTTTTAAGATGGTGTCTCAGAAAGCATGGTGTCCTTTGAGAATTCCTCACCTACTCTCACACCAGCTCCAACACCACTCAGTTGAAAGAACCATGAGATACTGAAGACATAAACATAACAAACAAGGAAAGAGGCTTCAAAGTGATAACTGAGCAGATGATCATATTTTAGTTACTGATGACATCAATTCAAGACGAGTGAGTGTTGCCTGTCACGTGCAAAGTGATATCAAATTCAGTAGCCAGGTATGTGGGAGGCTCCCGTCTCTCCAACCCGACTGGCCATACATTCTACCATTTTGTTGATCTCCCTCACCTCCTCCAGTGGTCAGGATGACTCTTGCTGTGTGCCTAGTCCCAGTTCTGTACCTCTTACTGAGATTCTGCATTGCCTTCTGTTCAGGAGAGCAAGCAGAGAATTGTGAGAATGAGGATTAAATTCATAACGTTTGTGGAGGATGACTGCAGGGTGGATATGTGTTGGCAGTGAGAGGAAGATGAATATCAGAGGTGATTGTTTAGACAGGGGTGTGAGGAGCATGCTTGAGAGAGGAATGGTAGAGCTTCAAGGTGTATTGTTCTAAGGAATGCTGTGTAGGATAATGCTCAGGAAGTCAGAGTGTGAGGTGGGACACATGCTTGAGAGATGCTGCTCACCATTCCTGCCCTTGTTAGATTATTTGAAACTATTTTCACACTGCATCCATAGCTGAGGTAGCAAATGCCTGAGATAGCTTCACTGTAGGACAGAGAGTAAATCAAGAAATGCTATCAGTTTATGAGAAAAATACTGCCATTTCAAGTGCATTCTGGACTTCTGAAGCTAGCAAAGGATGGCTTAAATAAATAGAAGTAGAAAATTGCATGAGAAAGAAATGTAAAAATAGGCAGTAAGAGCTTCTACAAGTATATAAAAAGGAGAAAAGTAGCTAACGTAAACATTGGTCTATTAGAGGGGGAGCCTGTATAATTAATAATAAGTATCAAGGAAATGGCAAATTGAACAAATATTTGGCATCTGTCCCCAGAGTAGAAGGTACTAAAAGCATCATAATAATGGTCAAAATTAAGGGGATAAACGGGAAGGAGAAACATAAAACAAACACCACTTGCAGAGGAAATGCTTTTTTTTAAAAGACTGAAGGACCTAAAGATGAGCAAATCCTCAAAACTTGAAGGCCAACATCCTAGGGTCTTAAAAGAAGTAGCTGTGAGACAGAAGATTCATTTGTTGTAATCTTCCAAAATTTCCTAGATTCTAGGAAGGTTCCAGCAGATTGGAAACCCACAAACAAAAATGCTACCCAAGATATTAGTATGGTAAAGGGTGGACTAATTAATGGCAAACCTGTCTTCAAAAATGAATTATTTTCAGGTTGGCAAACTGCACCTAAAGAGACATTAGTCATCTGCACCCCGCCTTGTCAGGACAATAGCCAATTATTGATCATTAGATTTTAACAATATTGGTTTGAACCCTACCATGGTCACTCCAGGAACTGTTTATAAGCAGTATAGTAAATGCTAAGCATTAAATGTGTGATTGCAGTGTCACCGTTCTCCCAGCTGCATTGTAAACTGACACCATTTAAAGGGATCTAAGTTACTCCACTCATCATCTTAAATAATTGAATGACCAATGAGATAATGGTAGTGGATGTTCAGAGATGTGACATTGAATATGAAAACAGGGGACATTAATTGTATTAATCAGAAACTAAAAGAAGCGTTTCTCCTAATTTTTCATTTCCATCAGTAAAGGTCCAGCATAGCCTGGATACAGAGTAGTGTAGAAACAGTTTTTCTTCAATCTCAGAAAAGCTGCAATGTGGGTTAAGCTTGTTGTGCACAAGATCTGTTCAGACAGCTTTATTCAAGGATCAGAATTTGTAAATGTACAATGAGAGGGATCTACTTTGATCTCCATTTTTCTTCTGTGCAGCTCTGTGCAGCCAAACAGATGGCTGGCTGAATTGTGTACACTCTGTAGTGCTGTCCATGCATGCCACCACCTCCCCCACCCCACCCTGACCACCAAATTTGTCCAGCAGAATTGGTGGCATCAGGTTGTAAGTAGAAACCCCTGTGGCCCAAAAAAAGGACTGCTAAATTTTTAGCTCTTGGTGGATACTTCTACAGAGCAGAGGAGAAACAGCAGCCTGGAACCCTGCCAAATACAAATCTACTCTGTCTTATCTATGCTCAGATTCTCCACTGAGCTCCAAGTACCATGATAAGAAATTCCATGAATCTTACCAATTCCTCAAAGTGAAACTATGTAAGCACAGCCAATTAGGCCACATTAAAATAGCAATGCCATTTAACAAAAAGCTGAATTAGTTTTTGTGTTATATCTAGGCTGTTTCAAGAATCAGTTATTTATTTGATGGTTGAGCAGTTGTCACAGTGTTTGGAGAAATATTTGTGGTAGACATCTTTTTCTCCTTCCAGCATCTCACCCTCCCCACTCCATTCCTCCTTCCTTCTACCTTGCCCAGCAAACTGGGGAGATGATTCCCTTTTATGTTCTAACTTAAGGTCCCTATTTTTATGGGTACTGAAATATCTCCGAACAGCCTGTATTTGCTGCACACTTTCACATCAACATATGCCCACTCAATGCTGGGCGTAGAGTCATATCCAAATGTTGTACTTGGCGGATTAGTGTTTGACAAGGCAGGGTTTTTTCTTATTCCACACTTTTTTTAAAAAATAGAATCTAGGCGCATTGTAATGAGGTGTTTTTAGCTTTTGGGGTTAAGAACAATAAGTCTATGTTCTTCTCTTTCAAGTGACATCAGTAGCACCTCTATAAGAGGATCTGAGCCATTGAATAGCCGATAAATAAGAATCAAGCATGAATTGAGGCTCCAGTTACCTGTGATCTAAAGGTTCCATTATTGCACTGTATAAAGCTGGTATCTCCTTATCAATGCTGAATAACATTGGTAACTCTGCACTGGTTGCAACTTCACCTGGAAAGGATTTTGTACAACAGGCCTAAAAGGAATTTGATTTTCCTTTGTGCTGTCATGTACAGTCTGTACTAGTGTGGATAGGAGCTAGCACCTCACCCTGTTATAACCTTACCAGTTTTCAGGATATGATGCACATATATGATGCACAGAGAAGTCAAAATGTCAGTGCTGGCATTTGGTAATATTTTCCACTTTTGGTTTCAAGTATGTGAAGATCATGTGAATTAGATTGACATAAATCTCTCTCTACACTATCTTATCACAGATCATTTTGGATAGATGCAAAGCTAAATGCTCTAAATGCTTTCCCCTCAAGCATAGTGAATTCGTGGAGGGGAAAGCTATCCCGGTTGTTCCAAACACATACTTTAACAAACACCTATATTTCAAACAAGATTCTTCGAAACAGCAGAGAGAAGAGACTTTTTCTCTCATTGATCCATGTTGTTTTTGAACTGTCCCTTTTACTTCCTTGTGTCAATCCAATCCTTCACTTTGAATTGCTCTATTCTATGTTAATCACACTGGATTGAGTGGATGCACTATCTGTTCATGATGAATGGTTTTAATTTTGTTTCTTTCAAAAAGTTGCCCAAGCAGAGAATGGAATGATTGTGATTTGAACTGCCTCTACAAGTAGAAAACAGTGGAAACTGAACAAAAGGAAATAGACTGAAAGCAGAGTTGAGAAAGAGGTGGGAATGTTTGCAGGGGACGTTTTAGTGGCAAGAGCATAGAAGCTGAAGGTACAGTGCCTATGGTAGAATAGTGATCAATGAGAACTAAAATTGATGAACAGGATAGGGAAGATCATGCAAGTAGCAGTTTGGAGAGGTAATTGAGGAAGGTGACCCATTTTGCTTAGGTAGTTTATGTTATTAATAGAGCAGAGAAATTTGTAATGAGGTGAAAAATAATGATCAGTTGCATGGCTTTCAATTGGGGACTGAATAAGATCTACAAACATTGGTCTAATTATTTCATCCCTTTAACCCTTTGCATCTAAGAACTGCGCTTTGTTAAAAATAAAATTCACGGGAGGTAGGCTATGCTGGCTTGGGCAGTTAAGAATTAAGCATATTGCCGTGGATCTGGAGTCATATGTAGGTCAGACCAGGTAAGGATGACAGATTTCCTTCTCTAAAGGATATCAGTGAACCAGATGGGTTTTCGCAACAATCAGTTAGCTTTTTGACCTAGATTTTTATTGAGTTCCAAGTTTTGCGGTGGTGGGATTCAAATTCATGAATATTGGCTTTACCATTACACCATCTCCTTTGATTGTCCTTGTGTAATGATACTTAATGGTCAATCAGATTTAACACTGAAACAGAATGAGTTTGAATTTTACTTTTTATCTAGTGTCGCCCAAGGTACTACACCTAATTTTGATCCACATTGGCTGAAAACCCACCCTATGAGTGGGTATCACAATATAATGGATAGATATACTGAAGGTAACGAGTATAAAACTCTCTTTAGTTTGTAATAAACTTGTCTGCTCTGGGAAGAAGTGCCATTGTTGATGGTTGTAGTGATAAAGAAGCTTATCTGAAGTTTGGCTAAGGAACTCTCCTTCATTTGGTTTCAGAGTGAGTTGGTTGAAGATTTTCGAGCCTTGCGGAAGACAGCAGAGGACATGAAACTATTTAAAAGAGACATGGTGTTTTTCTCCCTCTATCTTGCCCATCTCTTTGTGTTGGAGTTTCTGGCCTGGCTGACACTGTCATATTTTGGAACCGGCTGGATTCCAACTCTCCTTACTGCCTTAATCCTGGCAACTTCACAGGTAAGAACCAATCAGGACCATATAATAGGATTGTTGAAGGGCATGATCCCAGGCAAAATGTAGGATGCCTAACCAGGACCTGGTTATGCACTGTGTTAGATTGTTTTCTCCAGTATGCAAGCTCAACTTAAAGATGATCTGTTCAGCTACATTTTAGTTGATGCTCCTAAATGAAAGGACTAATCCCAATCTAGGACCAAATAGATGCAGAGTTTCACTAATTATATTCCAATATTCAAAATTGTTCAGTTTCATTCAATCACCAAACATGTTCATTCTTTCTTTGCCTTTGTCTTGACGTAAAGTGACTAAATGGTCATGATATGAGATAAAACAAACGCTCTCCAAGGGAGCCATGGATTAAATAAGAATTGCCAGTTCAGAATTTCAAAACGAAGTTTGGGTGTGACAAGGCAATGACCTAGTGGTATTATTGCTGGACTGTTAATCCAGACACCCAGGTAACGTCCTGGGGATGTGGGTTTGAATCCCACCATGGCAGATACTGGAATTTGAATTCGATAAATATCTGGAATTAAGAGTCTAATGATGACTGTGAAACCATTGCTGATTGTTGGGAAAAAAAACCCATCTGGTTCACAAATGTCCTTTAGGGGAGGAAACTGCCATCCTTACCTGGTCTGGTCTACATGTGATTCCAGATCTACAGCAATGTGGTTGACTCATAACTCCCTCTGGGAAATTAGGGATGGGCAATAAATGCTGGCCTAGCCAGCGACACCCTCATTCCATTAATGAATAAAGAAAAAAAAGAACAAAGATAAAAGCTGATATAGTTTTTTGAGGAAGTTTAAGGCCCAGTCTTTGTCTGGGACAAGGAAGCCTGACCTGCACACTCAACCCATGTGTGACTTCACGTCTTTTTTGATTTTTCACACAGTGATCAGGTACATAATGCGTTTTACATGAGGAGTGTGGCTGCAGAGACAGACTGGTTAGAAGGCCCACCTCAATTCTCTTAACACAGGAGGCAAGTTCCAAACATTGCTTGAAGTTCCTCTAAATGTCACCTTTAACCCCTCACTCTCACCCACCCATAGCCCCATGCCCTCTCAAATCATCTATACCACTTCATAACCCCAGTATGCCTCCATATATCCACCAATATCATTCAATATGCACAGTGTACTTCCCTAGGGGCCATGCAATAGTAATGGAAATTGTTTTAAAATTATTGGAAAAACATTAAATTTCTATCAATTGAAAGCAAAGACACTAGCATGGACAAATTAAGCAAGTGAAAAAAAGTCTTTTAATACTTTAAGTGCCTATTGGGTTAGCAAACAAGCACCAATACATATTAAATGTGTGTTTTTATTATAAGCTGGTAAAAGTTTCAATACTTCTAAGACCACTTTCTGAGCTGATGCATTTGAAACCAAGATTGGGCAAGTTTAGTCTCCGGGTAGGAGCAGTAGGTTGTGGGGAAGAGAGGATGAGAATTGTGTAGGAGTATCTGCAAGGAGGTGATACATAAAATATAGATTGGAAGGAGGTAGTGCAGAAGGGACATTCATCCAAGTTTAAGAGTACCCTGTCTTTGAGGGGGTCCGTGTATCATCACACTTGGCATGGTCACCTCACATGCCAGAGACTGGTGGTGGAAAGGTGGGCAGGTGCAGGCTCATGTAGACAGTTTGCGTGGGGACCCAGGGAGCTGCGAAGCCTGTGGGGTTAACAGGTCAGGCTACTGGAAAAGGGATTTGGATATTCAGGGGCTCACGGACATTTTCAGGCAGGGTTTGGGAGCCATTGGCTGAGGACTGCTCACCATCATCTTCCATCATGCTGGAAAACAAAAGTGCTTAATAGGGAAGAAAATGGCTGTGCCTAATGTTCCCCCTAAGCTGGTGTGGCATCCACTGTCACTCACAGATCTTGGAGTTCCGCACAACAACAAAGAAAATGAGATGGAGTGTTGGCTGTGTCGCAGTCTGTGACTCAGTCTGTGAGGGAGGGTCTTCAGCATCTATCCAATGTTATGGCTTTTAAAGGGTAAGAAGAGGGCACAGAGACACGTGTATTGTACAGGACCCAGACCTCTTCCTGGGTCACCAGTCCAAATTTCAAATCAGACCACTCCACCAGACTGAAACTGCAGGCGTGCAGGAGACTATTTTTATACTCCATATCCACGGAGCCCAGAATTCTCCCACCCATGCACACCCAAACTGGAAGCGATTGTTGGGGCCATGGTCTGTTTCCAAAGGGCCTCCAAAATCCCCCATCACCAGATTGACATAGCATGTGGGAAGGAATTCATTTTCATCCACCATTTAAGATGAGGAACCTAACCTCAGTGGGACAAATGGGTGTTCCTAACCTGCAGAAATGGCCAGAAGGAATTGGGACGTATGTGGGAATATGAAGGAATCTGACGGGCTGGATTTTATATTTCTCAGCAGGTGAGGGAGGAGGAATAGTGCCTGAAGGATCCATTCATTGCCCTGCCACTGTCTGTGCACTTCAATCAAATATTGAACAGCCAATCAGAGGCTCCTAACCATACACCCTGCCCCTTGCTGCCTTCCAATGTTGTATTTATTGTCAATTGAAAGTTGATAAATTCCCATAACCTGATGGGCTGCATCTTACTGTGTTAAAGGATATAGAGGTAATTGTGATAATCCACGTATTGGATTATCCTCAAAGATTCTATAGATTCTGGAATGATTTCTGCAGATTGGAAGATATCATCCCACAATTTGAAAAAGAATTAGGGGAACTAAAGACTTGTTAGCCATACATTAGCAGTAGGCAAAATGCTAGAATCTATTTTAAAGGATATGATAAATAGACACTTGGATGATAATGATCTGATTGGGCACAGTCAGCATGGATTGACAAACTTATCAGAGATTTCTGAAGATGTTACTGACAAAATTGATAAAGGAGAGCCAATGCACATAGTATACTTAGATTTTCCGAAAGCTTTTGATAAAGACCCCCATAGGAGGCTGGTTAGAAAAATTAAAGCATATAGAATAGGAGCGAATGTACTGGCATGGATTGGTGATTGGATAAAAGACAGAAAGGAGGGTAAGAATAAATGTGTAATTCTCTCATCAGCCGTGTGTGACTAGGGGGTACCGCAAGAATCAGTACCTGGGCTCCAGTTGTTCACAAAATATATCAATGGGAGTTGGGGAACCAAGAATCATTTTACAGCACAGAAAGAGGCCATTCGACCCATTGTGTCTGTACCAGCTGCCGAAAGAGCTAACCAGTTAGTCCAATCTCGTAACCCTGTAAATTCATCACTTTCAAATATGTATCGAGCTCTCTTTTGAAGTCACAAAAGTGATCATTTCAAATTTACAGATGATAGAGAACTAGGTAGGAATGTGTGTTGTGAAGAAGACGTAAAGCAGCTTCAGGAGAATTTGGACAGGCTAAGTGAATGAGCAAGCATATGTCAGATGGATTATAATATGAAAAAGTGTGAAACCATCTACTTTGGTAGGAGGAACAAATGTGCGGGTAAAAGGTTGCAAAGTATAAATCTACTAAGGGACCTAAGTGTCCTTTTCGATAAGGCACTGGACACTAATATGCACGTGCAGCGAGCTATTGGGATGGCTAATGGAATATTGATTTTTATTGCAAAAGGAATTGAATACAGGAATGGTGTTGCTTCATTTGTATGGGAGGTTGGTCAGACTTCATCTGGAGTATTGTGTGCAGTTTTGGTCTCCTTGTCTCAAAAAAGATATAATGCCATAGAGGGAGTGTAACGAAGGCTTACCAGACTTGACGGTAAGATTGCAGGACTGTCTTATGAAGACAGATTGGGAAAACTGGGCCTGAATTCTCTGGAGTACTGAAGAATGAAATGTCATGTCATTGAAGCCTACAAAATTCTTGAAGAGTTAGACGGGGAGGTAGAGCTAAGTTGTTTCCAATTTGAGAACTAAGGAGCATAATTTAAAAATTAAGGTGATTCAACTTAGGTTGCAAGATGAGGGGGAATATATTGTACTCAGGTTTGTGAAAGCTTTGGAATTCTATACCATAGAAGGTTCTGGAGGCTCAGTCTTTGAGCACGTTTAATGTAGAGATTGGTAGATTTCTGATTCCCAGTAGTGTACAGGGTTATGGGGATGGGGAGGTACAAGGCATTGTTCAGTCAGCCGTGTATGTATTGTGTGTGTTCCTGTGTGCTTGTCTTTCTCATGTGGCAATTTGGCTTCCACAAAATTCAACTCTTGCCACTGGAGTCACTAAAAAAAGTTTAATATTTACAGTGGAATATGAATCAAACCTTGATGGGAACACATAACTTTGGTTTTCTGATGAGCTGCGATGGAAAGCGGGGGCTCCAAGCCCAGGTGACACTGTTTGACATCATGTGTCAGAGAAGTAAATGCTCCAATGACAGCTAGATTTGTGGAGAATCTCTGCTCCCAGGATCATTGTTTATTATTCATTGAAGGTACAGAAATGATTTTCTAAAAGCCACGAAAATAACACACTGATATTGCCACCTTTCCCAGCCTAATCTGCTGGTACATTTAACCACAGTACCTGTGGCAAGTCTTTTTCACTGGCCTTAGGCTACCTCATTATTGCTAACAGAAAAGACTCCCAAACCGTTTCATATGCAACACTCAAGAAGAATGCAGTGGACAATGAAAAAAAAACTGACAATTGGGCTATTAACAAATTTCATAGTTTGCTAACGAAAGACAGCAAAATGGCAGAAGGCTGAGACCGCACACCATTTGTATTATTGGAGAAGAGCAAGAATGAACCGTCAGATCAAATCTTTCAGCAGCAGTGGAGGGTGGCGTGGGGTTGGGGTGACACACCCCATTTGACAAGGCAAAATCCAGCTCAAAATTATGCCATTTGTGCACCACTATGTGTCTCTAGCCAAACAAAAATTTGAACCGTAGTTGCATTCGTAAAGGAAACTGAGAAGCTGATTTTAATCTTGCTGGTTACCCCCAGGTCGGCCATTAAAATTGATTATGTTCTTTTACCTCTCATACCCCAATCCTTTCCAATAATAAACTGCAGGATTTTGCAAGTAAATGAACCAACTGCTTAATGCAGCCAGAGCCACTTCTAAACATAACTATTCAGGGTTCTATTAAGTCAGTAAACGTGTTTAAAATTACAATCTACTAAAGCCAAGAAAATATCTATTTCCACCGATCACCAAGTCAGTCGCTAGAAGTCATAAGAATCTGGCAAAATAAAAGAGAAGAAGGTTAGGAGAATTTTGTGGAAAACATGTCAGTGTTGCTACTAGAATGATATACTACAAACTGAAATGGAAGCAATATCAATAATAGTTTTAAAAAAAGACTGGATAAATGCTTGAAAAAGAAGAATTCTGAAAACTATAAATGCAAGGCAATGGAAGTAAGTGGCTCTTTTTGGAAACTGGTATGGTGCAGTGTGCTGACATACAGCCCTTTGTGCTTTAATATTTTATAAATCATTCTGAATCTAAGTATGATACTTACAAATCACAGCTATACCCTGGGCAATGTAATTTTGAGAATTTTGATGAGTATCTCCAGAGATTTATAATCTTTTGAGCAAGAAGAGCTTTTAGTGGCTTCAGAATATCTCCTGTGTGTAGATTGATCAATTTTCCTTTGGCAAATAATGCACCAGTCTGACATCAAATGAAAAGGTAGCTTGAGCATGTTCACAGGCATCGCAAGCTTCGGTTGAAAATCACCTGATGCCTCAACAGAAGATAGTCCTCATGAAATATTGCTGGGGTTTCTTGTTAGACAAGCTGGTCAGCAGCTGTGGGGATGGGAGGTCAATGAGAGCTGCTGAACTGTGCTTCTGGGCAGGACCATTGTTTGTATTTCTCTCAGTAAAACTATAAAGAGAATGAAATTAACTTTGCTATGCAAATGCCAAGTTAGAAAAGTCTTTATTTTGTTGGATTGCAGGCCCAGTCAGGCTGGCTTCAACATGACTTTGGACATTTGTCTGTCTTTCGGAGTTCAAAATGGAACCACCTGTTACACAAGTTCCTGATTGGTCACATGAAGGTAATCAGTGAGCTGGGGATTGGGGTAGGGAGGGATGCTGGGATCTGAGGCATGATCTACTTAAACAAAAGAGCTGATTTTAATAAAAATATGGGAATAACTGTTGGGTTTCCTCTAGTCTATTGAAATAGACTTTCACCAAATTGCTACAGTCTGCAGTTCTATTGGAACTAAATTCTACTTTTCTTGTTGATTCTGAAGGGAGCTAGAGGAATTTCAACTTTACTGCTCTCAGCCTTGTTATTTGTTCATAACACCAGGTTGCCTCCATAATTTACATTAATGAAAAATAACGCCATAAATCTTTGAAAACTCTGAATAAGTGAGATAGCATCACTGTAAAGTGTAGGCATTGTGATATTTCTGGCATGTGGACCCTTTATCATGATTTTCCAATGTCAGGACACCTCCTTAAGTCCCAGGATGGAGGAGGTTGGTATTTGGATGGGGAATTATTTGTCAGTTCACAATGATGGTGATGTTGGAGCAATAATACTACCTCCAAGATCCAGTATTGTAATATTTCTGCTTCACGCCCATTGGGGTCAACTTACTTCACATAGGACCCTGGACCATTTTATGATTTGTCAATTAACCTTATTTTCCTAATCAACCTATTCAGAGATGTTATTACACACCTCTGTAACAGGTGGGACTTGAACCTAGCCCTCCCAGTCTATGTGTGACAAGAGACCTCTTTTCCAGTTTGCCTTGTCTCCTGTCTATCCCCATTTCCTTAAGTTATTCATAAAATTCCTGAGTCTTCTATTTCTTTGTCTTCTCTCATTAAGCTCATTTTCACTTATTATGCTATTTCTGCATCTCCTTTTCTGCTAATATGTTTTCCATCTCTTTCTCATAGTTTTTAAACTCAGCTTATCCTACCTTGTCTGTTCTCTCCTAAGATGCTAATTGATGTGGTGATTATTTCTAGACATTGTTTTTTCTGTTTCACACTTTCAGCATTTTTAGCATTTTGCTTTATCTCATAACCTTCCGTTACAAAACAGTTTTGATTTAATGCTGCAGTAAACTGCTGTGTAACTTGTGAGACAGTTTCCTTGGTGCCCTTTGATCATACTTATTGCAGTAAATTTAAAGCTGTAGGCAAAGCCATGGTTTAAAAAGTTTGACTAAATTGCCTAGAAATGCCTTAACTGTGGTTTGACTATTTCTGATCGTAAAGGAAACCGTAAAAGGGCAGTCGACTAACTTTAACATTGGAGATAGGATTTTCAGAGGTTTCTAAACAGGTATGCACAGACCTTCTTTTCCCCTTGGACTTGGCAGCATCTTAGGAGTTGGCAAACTGTGCCTATCAAACCTAGACTGATTTTTGTGATTCAGTATTTGTGGCACAGCAATCCCCTGTCTAAAAGTGGGAAGGAATGGGCTGCAATTTTGCCAGCTGCCTAGTGATGATCCTGACAATGATCAAATGCTAAGAACGAATGCCTGCAATTATGAGACACTAAGACTAGTGGGAATTGAGTGAGATACTCTGACTTGTGTGGTTGACTGAAAGAGAATTTGAAGTTCTCACAAGAACTGGCTTTAATTTCAAGACATTTAAGACAAAATTACAAACAGGGTGAGTAAGCTGCAGTATATTGCTTTTGGTATATGTGTGATACTGGTATCTCTTTTAAAAGGGGGCTTCTGGAAACTGGTGGAATCACCGACACTTCCAGCACCATGCCAAACCCAACATCTTTAATAAGGACCCTGATGTGAACATGCTGAAGGTATTTGTACTGGGAGATACCCAACCTGTGGAGGTAATTACTTTTTATTGTGAAACTTAGGTGAAACCACCTGACAAATTTAAGGTCAGAAGGAGAATATGAACTATACTTGGGAACATTGATTATGTTGTACGACTATCGGTTAATGTAGGGAAGGTAGTTCAGGGAAGGCAAGACGCTCCATAATTTTAGTGTCCTTGGGAAAGATGTGCAGTAGAGTAGAATGTATGCAATGCATCACGGTTTCAATAAAGTACGATTTCAGGGAAGAGGGACCAAGTTGTGTAGGCTGGGATATTTTGCTCAAAGCCAAAAACAAACTCGACATTCGTGTACGCCAGGAAACGCGTTTTACTATTGCACTGACCTTCTTATTATAGCAATAAAGGAAAGTACTCCTGTAAAAGAATACCATATGTGTTTATAAAAGGACTGAGTAATGGGCCCAAAATCTAATGAAGGAGTTCAGGTAGGTTTTGTCGAAGAACACCCGCAGTGAGTTGTGGATGTGCACTTTCCTCGCAACCACATTTCCCACTGGAAGCATGATAGGTCAGGGATCAACTTGTCTGCTTCCTAGATGTTCTTTGTAAAAGCACAGTCCTCAGGTGATCACGGGTTGGAAGTTGAATGAAAGTGAGATTGGAAGCCTTTTGTCAAACACTTCCACACCATTTGATGATGACAGCACACGCCTGCTCATTGCATGTAAATAATAAGTAGATAATGAATGTTTCTCTGGTGCTTGAATTGAATGACCATCATGAATGAAAAGAAAAGATGCTAGGTATACTGTGAGGCAGATATAACAGGCTTATTTAACTATTGGAAATATCAGAACACCTGTTCATCCTCATTCCTACTGTTTTCAACTGATGGTGAACTAATTGAACCATCTGAATAATCATATAAAGAACGGTGAGTTCACAGGTTGAATCCAGTTGAAAGTGTGGATGTTGTGTTTGCATGTAATATATATTTGATATTCCGTGACTTCATGTTTCTGACAATTAGCTCTGTTCATAGGCAGCATAGGATGAATAACCAGGGATAAATGTTGTAGCTCTATTGCTTCCTGCTAGAGTAGCACCTACGAGGAGTGTCAAACTGCAAAACTACCTCGGTAGAATAATAGGTACGGAGAGGGAGTTGTGTACTGGAGTCTAATCGAAGTTTCTAGATAATTTTATACTGAAGGCTCTATGCAGCTACTAATCTGATTCCACCTAATTCCTCTTTCATCGCTGTAGTTTGGAAAACGGAAGATCAAGTATTTACCTTACAACTATCAGCACGAATACTTTTTCCTCAGTAAGTATTGGCTGCTGGACCAGTCTGTGTGATGTTGTCAGTTATGACTGTTGTTTCCTGTGTGGTATCACTTCCTTGCTCTCTCTTTTTAGTTGGTCCACCCCTGCTAATCCCGGTGTATTTCTACATTCAGATAATGATGACCATGATTACTCGTCGGGATTGGGTGGTAAGTGCTTCAGAATGTTTAACATGGGGTTTTTCTTGCCCTCTCCTGCTTTCCATTGTGTCCCAGTTTGAATTTCAATTTTCCTTCCCTACACAGTGTTTTGCTACTGCCTGGTGGCAGACTGGTGACCCTCATTCAAGGGGCATGTGTGAGAAATGCCAGAAGTATCTAGACTTGTAAATCTTCCCTGAAAGGAAAAACCACATCTTTCTTGGCACTGACACCCCTTGGGTTGAGGATTTAGTTCTGCAGGAAATTCTGGGCACCAGAACAAATATACCAATACAGTGTAGTGTGGCACACCAATGTTGTGTCAGCTTTTGCTTGCGTATGAAGAGATGTCATGCAGCATGCACTGAGAGCCAGAGTAGATCCACAGGTGGTACCCAATTCCCAGGGCTTGGGCTCAAGGAAAGTAGATGCTTAGGTATTTGAAGTGGAACTTTGCCTGTCGATTACAGCCAATTCCATTCCTTGGCACTCTGCCTCAGGAAAGTAGCCAATATAATCAAAGACCCCTTCCAGCCTGGTTATAATCTCTTCCAACCTCTTGTGTCAGGCAGAAAATACAAAAGCTTAAACACATGTACCAACAGATTCAAGAATAGCTTCTTCCCCGCTGCTATTAGACTTTTGAATGGACCTCTCAAATTTCAAATTTAACGTTGATCTCACTCTTTGCGCAGCTTCTCTGCAGCTGTAACATTGTATTCTTCTTTTACCCAATGCACTTTGTATGGTATGATCTGCTTGTATTGCAAGCAAAACAAAATTTTTCATTGATGAAGAGTCTGAGGACACTCTAATGAAGAGTCATCTAGACTCGAAATGTTAGCTTGCTCTCTCTCCATGGATGCTGCCTGACCCGCTGTGATTTCCAGCACTTTTGTTTTTAAAACTTTTCACATAGGTACATGTGACAATAATAAATCAAATCAAATAATATCCTACACTTCACTGATCACAAATTTCACACTCAAAAATGATGTAATTTGAATAGAAGTGATGGCATAACGGAAGACCTGAGCATGGCACTATCTGGAATGATTTCATTTTCCAGACATCAGAGCAAATTGCACTTTTTGCATTTCTTATAGAATAGTAATAACACCCTAATGCCTCTAATTTCCATCTATTCCTTTCCATCCTGCAGGATCTTGCCTGGGCAACAACATACTACATCCGTTACTTCACCACCTACATCCCCTTTTATGGATTTTTTGGTTCCATACTGTTTGTCATCTTTGTCAGGTATGTTAAGTTCAAAAGAACTATTTTTGTTATTTCAGTCACAGCCACTAATATTACAGTTTTTGGATTATAAACTGAAGTGCTACCATGTTTAAAATGTTGGACAGAGCATGAAGGTTAATTTATCATTTTAGAGCAGGGTGAGGAGATGTGACCCATGCAAAAAATGTACGAAGGACCTGTTTACTGTGCTTTTCTCTCATCTCCATAGGCTGTGCCTATAATTTAACTAATTCATTATCAGGCAGTCCAATCACAATGTCCAACTGCACTACCTGCCCTAAATTCCTGTTGTAATTGGTAAAGCTCAGTTCAAATGGGCTTATGCAAATCAAACTGCTATCAATTTGGAGTGGTTCTGTAAAATAAACATAGAAACTGAAGACACTTTTTTTTTCACTGCCATTCAGTAAGATCACGGTAGATTGACAGTTTAACTCACAAAGCTGTATCCACCATTGTCTTATCCTTTTGGTTAACAAAACAAGACTCTGCCTGTCATTAACAATTTACACCTGTTTTTGGAGAGAGTTCTAAGCACCAACCACCCTTTGTCCAAAGAATTGTTTCTTGCTTTCACTCCTGAAAGGTCTAGCTCTAACTTTTAAACATGTCTCGTTAACATGAATTGGCTGTAACGTGATTGATGAATAGTGGACACTGTTTGGGTAGTGCGAACTTTCTGCTGTACAGGTACAGAGATTTTCAATAGTGATTTCCCTATAACATGATTTTCTATGGCAATTTTTTATAGCGCAAGGTCACAGAAGGATGCAACTAGAAGAACTATCTGTACCCACTAAACAGCCTCCCCAACTTTGATTAAGTCACCCCTTAACCTTCTAAATACCAGGGAATACAACCCTACTTTATGGAATCTGTCTCCTCAGAACATAACTCTTGGAATCCAGAAATAATTCTGGCAAACCTACACTGCAAGGCCAATGTTTTCTTCCTAATATATGGTACTCAGAAGTGTACTAAGTACTCCAAGTGTGATCAAACCAGGTCTTTGCATAGCTGAAACTTGACTCTTATTCCCATGTACTTCAGTCCTCTTGATATAAAGGCCAATATCACATTAGCCTTTTCAATTATCTTCTGTACCTGCTCATTGCATTTTCAGGATCTGTGAATCTGTATCTCATTTCTATTTAAATTCCACGTTTTTACTTTTCCTTGCCAGCTGGGTTATTGCTGTAGGCATGATAGAAAGGGCAACAATTTACGAATAAATCACAGTCATCAGGTTCATACTGTACAAGCTAGTTAAAATTTGAACAAAATTACCACTTATGGAAAACAAAGTGCACACAGACATCTTCTCTAGATGTTTGTCAGTAAAGTCTATCACCACTCAGAACAATAATGCTGCCGACCTTGATCCCAATTTTCTTGTTGAGTTACTTGATTTCTACTGTAAGTGGAAGAATTGTTTCATCACCTTGGGACATTCTAAAGCTTTTTACAGTCGAGAAAGTAATTTACTGAAGAATTGTTGATGTTGCAACACTGGAAATCCAGCAGCCAATTTGTGCACAGCAGGGTTCTATGTAAGGGAATGTGATAATGACCAGATTTTAAATGTTGATTGAGGGATGAATGTTGGCGATAATTCCCGTTGTCTCTGAAAATAGTGCCATGGGATCTTTATTGTTCAGCAGGTTTCAATTGAGCCTCTCTGACAGTGCAGCCCTCCCACAACACTGTCACTCTGGGTTTGATGCTGAAGTCTTTGGAGTGAATCTTGAAGCCACAGCCTTCTGACCTTCAGATATGAGTGCTATCAGCTGAACCACAGCTGACAATGAAGGCTGGAGATCTGCTTCAACTGGTTGTCATTTCTCGCAGCTCAAAGAGAGAGAGAGAGAGAGAAGAAGCAAAGGGCCTTCGTCTTTGTGATTGTGATTAACTAACCCGTCTAAGTCATGTTTCCATGTGGACATTTGGTGAGGACAGGTTCTTGCTCTGTGACGCCTTTTGAAGCTCACTAACTTGCAGTGTTTCAACTCTCACAAAGCGATGGCCATTCGGGAGCCTACCAGCTCCTGTGGAAAGGTACCCAGCTAGGGGTAGATGCCTCGAGGAGATAGAGAAAAAAGTCATGGACAGGCGGGGAATTGAAGGGAAAGTGATCTCTGGTCCCAAATTATATTCTTTGAAGCAAAAAGTGCACCTTAAAGTGGTTTCCAAAACTGTTTAACAAGTACAGACTCTTGTGCTGCAGTGCTAGTGTCCCTGTCTCTGAGCCAGACGGCCTGGGTTCAAATCCCACCTGCACCAGAAGTGTTTCACAACATTTCTGAATAGGTTGATTTATAAAAAAGGAAATAAAAATAAGTAAAAGGTACATACTGTTTTGAACACAGAAACATCAACATCAGAAGAATTCTGATAGTCGTTCGACATCTGATCACTGTGCTGATTTTCCCTGCAGGTTCATAGAGAGCCATTGGTTTGTGTGGGTGACCCAGATGAACCATATTCCGATGACCATTGACGATGAAAAGCACAAGGATTGGCTCACTATGCAGGTAACTCTCAGTTAGCTTTGGCACTTCCTTGTGGCGGCTTGTGACAGTTTTCATCATAAAACCCCCCAAAGTGGCTGAATTTTTGTCCTGGGCTCAGCACCCTGAGGTCAGGGGTAATTCTGTGCCCCAATGTTACATTGACACCTGCTGTAATTCTTAATGAGCCAGCAATATTAGCAGCCAGACTGGATGCCCTCTTAAGGATGGCAGGTGGGTTGGAAGCCTTTCAGCATTGAAAGATTAGCAGTGCCACCGTCAGTAGTCGATGCTGATGAAAGTATCCTCAATTTGAAGGCACCCTCTAAAGAGGCTTTATAAAGTGTTAAATTTAAAAAGCCCAATGTTGCTAGATCATCATCGTGAAGGGGAAACTCCTTCCTCTGTGTGGCTTCAGCTGTGGACCTATGGCAGTGCTGGGTTTGGAGGAGAGGGAATCTCCAAGCAGGTTAGAGACTGCCACCGTGGGACCCCAGTCTGCATCTGCAGAGCAGCTGAAACTAAACTATCTTGGAGCTACAGCCAGAATCATGGTGGGAGACCAGATGGTTGTGTGCAATTGAAGACTCATTCATTCCCAATTCTGTATCTTTGGGTGAATGAAAGTTCTGCCCTAATTGTCTGTAGACATTGCCAGATTAGAATTTTGTGTTCTTGTCAAAACTGCTGCCCATTAATTTGGAACAAATACAGACAAGGCACATCAGGAGGGTAACTTCAAAACAATGACCACTTCATTGAGGCTTTTCCAAATGTCCAAAATTGCTGTCTCCATTAAAATGGCTATCTGCGTTATAGAGTGCAAACCTGATTGGTTGTCATCATAAAATGTGCTTGTTGCACCAGTGGAAGTTTGATGAGAAAATCTGTATCTACATTGTTTCTTTGCTTCTTATTGAAAGTATATAATATAGGAGACTGGGGAAGGGTAGAGGTGTGCAGTGTCAGTTCAGAACAGGATCGGCTTTGACTATAATGCCTCTCTGCTCATATGTCATTGTCTAGTCTCAAATGGAGACTGGCGACTTGAAAAGATCTTGGAAGATGGTAAGTTGCCTACAGGACACCAGTAAAAGGTCATTATCTTCAGTAGAAACATGAGGAAACAAAGAGAAAAAAGACAAAACAGGAACTTTAATCAGCAGGACTCATCTATAGGGTGTTTCATTTCTGTGGCTTTATTGTCACATTGAGATGTGGTATATTAGATCCCTCATTAATCTGTAGAGAAGAGACTTCAATTATTAATGGAGGCTAGTCTTTGCCCTGAGAAACAAGATTGAATTATACACCTGCTGCTCTTATCAATTTCAGCTTCAAATTGCAATTACTTTGTTCTTCAGAATATTAAGAATACAGGAAGAAGCTCATTAAAATATTAATGTAACATAATTAGAATGGTTATAGTCGATTATAGTCTTGTGATGATACAGAAAGGAGAAGCCATGATCACATAGATTCATGTCATCTATTGTCAAAGAGAATTTGACAACTGTATAGGGCAATGCTTCTCAAACCATCTTCTAAAATGGCCCCATTCTCATAGTTGAAAATTAGTATGACCCTGGACCCAGGAAAAACAAAACAATATAACTGCGTTCGGTAAAATATATAATCATTAATGTTCACTTGTTATAGATAAACATCTTAATAGATCATTTAAATATGGAAATCTGTACTTAATGTAGTTTGAAAAATGTTACCATTTTATTTACTGATACAAGTTTCAGCCATGCTCTTCATATTCCCTAGTGGTGGAAGATTCGGTGAACCCTCTCTCTCTCCATTTCCCCACATGCACTTTGCAGACAGCTCTGAAGGCTAAGGGGGGTTTTGGGCTCACTGTCCGCCTCTTGTTGTTTAGTTAGCAGATATCCAGTGAGTCCATGACTGTTCTAATGGAATCTCCTCACTGCAGTCACTATTCCTATCTCAGAGAACTGGGAGCTTGTCACCTCCAAATGTAACCTGGGATCATGACCCAAAGCTTGGGAACTCATAGAATTAAAGAATCACAAATTGAAGGGATACTGCCATATGGCAAAACACAAGAAATCTTGATCTATAACTAAATGGAATAATGCATTATTGTAATTTGTGATAGATTTCATATCATCATCATCAGACTTGCTGCTCATCAGACTTTGAATAGCTCAGCATTGAAGATAACCAAATTCAGCATTAGTTATCCGTTTGGAAGTTAAGGATCACATTGGCTCAATGTTATAGTGACAATTTAATATGGTTGCCCCAAAGATTCCATCAGATCAAGATAAGCTCTTTACATTCTTGTTTGAACAGACGTCTTTGCATCCTCTTCGGACACAGGTGAGGTCCCAGAGGACTGGAGGATAGCCAGTGTTGTCCCATTGTTTAAGATGGGTAACAGGGATAATCCAGTAAGTTACAGGCCTGTGAGTCTCACATTGGTGGTAGGGAAATTATTGGATACGATTCTCAGGGACAAGATCTATACGCATTTAAAAGCAAATGGACTTATTAGCAGTAGACAACATGGTTTTGTGAGAGGGAGGTCGTGCCTCACTAACTTGATTGAGTTTTTTGAGGAAGTAACGAAAATGATTAATGAGGGAAAAGCTGTTGATGTTGTCTACATGGACTTCAGTAAAGCATTTGACAAGGTCCCTTATGGCACACTGATACAAAAGGTGAAGTCACATGGTTTCGGGGTGAGCTGACAAGATGGATACAGAACTGTCATAGTCACAGGAGGCAGAGGGTAGCAGTGGAAGGATGTTTTCGGAATGGAGAGCTGTGACCAGCGGTGTTCCATAGGGATCAGTGCTGGGACCTCTGCTGTTTGTGGCCTACATAAATGATTTGGAGGAAAATGTAGCTGGTCTAATTAGTAAGTTTGCAGACGATACAGAGATTGGTGAAGTTGCGGATAGTGAGGAGGATTGTCAGAGGATGCAGCAGGATATAGATCAGTTGGAGACAAGGGCAGAAAAACAGCAGATGGAGTTTAATCTGGGCAAATGTGAGGTGATGCATTTTGGAAGGTCAAGTACAGGTGGAAATTATACAGTGAATGGCAGAACCCTTTGGAGTATTGATTTTCAGAGAGATCTGGGCGTGTAGGTCGCCAGATCACCAAAGGTGTTTGCATAGGTAAATAAACTAACAAAAAAGGCTCATGGCATGCTTGCCTTCACTGGAAGGGGCACTGAGTATATGGATAGACAAGTTATGCTGCAGCTTTATAGAACTTCAGTTAGGCCACACTTGGAATATTGCATACAGTTCTGGCCGCTACACTACCAGAAGGATGTGGATGCTTCGGAGAGGTACGGAAAAGGTTTACCAGGATGTTGCCTGGTATGGGGGATTTTAGCTATGAAGAAAGGTCGAATTGACTGGGTTTGTTTTCACTGGAATGTGGGAGATTGAGGGGCGACCTGATAGAAGTTTATCAGATTGTGAATGACATCGATAGAGTGGAAAATATGAGGCTTTTTCCCATGGTGGAGGGGTCAATTACTAGGGAACACAGGTTCAAAGTGCAGGGTGGGGGTGGGGGGGTAGTCTAAAAGAGATATGTGAGGCACGTTTTTCACACAGAGTGGCGAGTGCCTGGAACACGCTGCCAGAGGAGGTGGTGGAAGCAGACACAATAGCACATTCAAGAAACACCTGGACAAATATGTGAATAGGAGGGGAATAGAGAAATACGGATCTTGTAAGTTGAGACAGTTTTGGTATGGAAAGGCAAAATGTGTCAGTACAGGCTTGGAGGGCCGAAGGGCCTGTTCCTGTACTGTATTGTTCTTTGTTCTCTTTGTTCTTATATAGTTATATAAAAGCGAAATAGTGCAGATCTAGGAACTCTGAAACAAACAGAAAATGCTGGAAAAACTCAGCAGATCAAGCAACTGAGGAGAGAGAGACAGAGTTAACGTTTTGAGTCTGATATGACTCTTCTTCAGAACGTCTGAACTCTGTTTCTCATTCCACAGATGTTGCCAGGCCTCCTGAGTTTCTCCAGCATTTTCTGTGTTTGATATAACGTGGTGTTTGGAGCTACTATGTTAGACAATATCAGTCATGCCTGGATTAGTACGCATAGAAGATATTCAACATTAAGAAGGC